CTAGCACATCCACATAGTGGATACTCAGTAAATGACCCTTTCCTCTTAACTGAGAAATCTGGCCTCTGTTTCTTCTACCACTTTCTGTGTCTTACCCTCTCAGTTTTGAGATACTATATTGTTCTGAGGAATTATGAGGCATTTATAAAATAATCATTTTAAACTTTGTAGCACTAAGTAATTCTTATTATAAAATACATGAAATGCTCTGCCTTACTTGGGAGTTTGTAAAGTAACAATTTGTTTGAACTTTAAAAGGGCGACTGTACTGTATTTCTGGAATCATTTGGTTTGGTTTTTGGCCTTTTTGTCTGAGTAACATAGGACTTAATGTTCCATTTCAGCATTGAGCGAATTATCACCCCTCGCCTGGCTCTAACCACAGCTGAATTTCTGGCCTACCAGTGTGAGAAGCATGTACTAGTTATCCTCACAGACATGAGTTCTTATGCAGAAGCACTTCGAGAGGTAACTTTTTTTTTCCCCCCTTTTTTTATACCTGTCCTTATCAGAGAATCTGGTACTTGACCATGGAAACTGTGTTCAATTATTTTCTTTTCTCAATTAAAGCAAGTCCATTTTCAGAGTTATCTTGTTCTTTGCAAATTTTCATTTTTCTTTAATCATGTTCTTTTAACTTCATGATACATTTTTCAAGAGAATACCTTAATTAGCAAGAAAAATAAGGCTTCTTTTGTATCTCTCAACTTAGCAAAATGATTAGAAAGTGAGATTTAAATTATTAGTGCATTTATCATACTATGACTGTCTCTTTGGATTAAGAACTGATTGTAAAAGGAGTAAATGATGCCAGCTATTTCTTCAGTTCCTTCCCCAGGAAGGTTGTTTTGGAACTTGAGGGCAACATGGCGCTATAGTCAGAAGCGCCACTGTCCCTCCACAGCAAAGATCCGAGAAACTAAGTCATACAGAGTCACACATCAGTCCTGCAACCCTAAGCATCAAATGAAGAGATAAAGAACTCAGCCAAGCACCGAATGGAATAAGAAACTGACCGAGAACAGAGATCGAGGAGAAGATACGTGCAGAGGTCCCCTGTCAGCTACCAAAGCACTGATCCGCCATCTTGGACTCCTATCGGAGATCAGCGAACAGGGGGTATGAGAAAGCAGCTTCACGGAACTTCCAGCAGGAGACAGAACAACCAGTAACCAACACTTTCTCACCCTCCACCCGTCTTCACCCCCACTCAACCTCCTCTGCTTCCCGTGGGCACAGTCTCTTGTCTGGGAAGCATGAGCTTCACCCCGGTGTCACTTGCATTCCACCCGCCATACTGGCCGGCTCCCTGAGTGTCATTTGTTGGCTGCTGGTGCAGCTTTTTTCCACTTCGTTAGATTTCTTCCTTACCTCTCACCACCTCCCCCTCCTTTCTCTTAAATACCTGGCTCCGTGGCCATCTTTGTTTCTTCCTGGGGGGCTGTGAGGCACCGCTCGACTCTGGAACAGCTTCCTGGCACGTGCCTCCGCGCTAGTGGGAACCCCGGGGCTTTGGTTTCTTTGTTTGTTCTGATTTTTTCTGTTTTAATTTGTTTGCTTGATTGTTTTCTTTTTCTTTTCTCGGCTTGGGACCCCCTTCAGGCCGGGCGGTGCCTAGCAGCTTGGGAGACACTCCGTTACTCTGCGCAGAAGAGTGACATCCCTGGGGGCATTTCTTTTTTCTTGGGTTTTTTCGTTTCTTTGTTTTGGTTTCTTCTCTCTCTTTCCCCTTTTCATCTTTCTTCATTTCCAGTTTCTCAATTTATGCATTTTTTTCTTTTACCCTTTTTTTTC